CCAATGAAAGAAGTGTGGACTTCAACTCCCAGAATTCCCCAACTCCCAGCACGTGGGCTGAAGGATTCTGGAAGTTGAAGTTTGAAAAATGCTGTTCTAGGAGGAAGCGAAAACACTGATGGATCCCCGATGCCTTGTTTGCCATTGAGTTGTATGCAGAGGTTGTATTCAGCCAGGTTCTGGAGAACCAGAGTGGGAATTTTGAGAGTGAGGAGGGATTGGGGATTTTGCAGTATCCTTCTCTTGCCACGCCCACAAAGCCATGCCCACAGAACCTGTAGTAAAAATGTTTGAATTCCACCACTGGTTGTATATATCAGGAGGCTGTGAGTTCGCTTTAGGTAGAGACAGATATTTCTCTCTCTCTGGGCACAATGAGAATGTATCTGCTGAACAAAAACTCCGCACTGGCGACAGGAAGGGCACCCGGCCACTTATTTAGGGTAAGGAGGAGGAGAAGAGAGGGGGCGGTGGGAAAGAGAGGGGAAGAAGAAAGGAGGAAGGCTGAGGAGGGAAAGGAAGAAAGGATAACACAGACGAAGTAAGGGTGGGGAATTAAGAGTAAGAGAGAGGGTAAAAAGAAGGAGAAGGGAGGAGGAGTGGGGGAAAGAGAGGGGAAGAAGAATGAAGGAAGGATGAGGAGGGAAAGGAAGAAAGGGTAAAGCAGAGGACATAAGGGAGGGGAATTAAGAGTAGGAGAGAGGGTAAGAAGGAGGAGAAGGGAGGAGGAGTGGGGGAAAGAGAGGGGAAGAAGAAAGGAGGAAGGCTGAGGAGGGAAAGGAAGAAAGGATAACACAGACGAAGTAAGGGTGGGGAATTAAGAGTAAGAGAGAGGGTAAAAAGAAGGAGAAGGGAGGAGGAGTGGGGGAAAGAGAGGGGAAGAAGAATGAAGGAAGGATGAGGAGGGAAAGGAAGAAAGGGTAACGCAGAGGAAGAGAAGGAAGGAAGAGTGGGGGAAAGAGAGGGGAAAGTGGAGAAGAAGAAAGGAAGGATGAGGAGGGAAAGGAAGAAAGGGTAAAGCAGAGGACATAAGGGAGGGGAATTAAGAGTAGGAGAGAGGGTAAGAAGGAGGAGAAGGGAGGAGGAGAGGGGGAAAGAGAGGGGAAGAAGAAAGAAGGAAGGATGAGGAGGGAAAGGAAGAAAGGGTAACACAGAGGAAGAGAAGGAAGGAAGAGTGGGGGAAAGAGAGGGGAAAGAGGAGAAGAAGAAAGGAAGGATGAGGAGGGAAAGGAAGAAAGGGTAAAGCAGAGGACAAGGGAGGGGAATTAAGAGTAGGAGAGAGGGTAAGAAGGAGGAGAAGAGAGGAGGAGTGGGGGAAAGAGGGGAAGAAGAATGAAGGAAGAATGGGGAGGGAAATGAAGAAAGGGTAATGCAGAGGAAGTAAGAAGGGGGAACTAAGAGTAGGAGAGAGGATAAGAAGGAGGAGAAGGGAGGAGGAGAGGGGGAAAGAGAGGGGAAGAAGAAAGGAGGAAGGATGAGGAGGGAAAGGAAGAAAGGGTAAAGCAGAGGACATAAGGGAGGGGGAACTAAGAGTAGGAGAGAGGATAAGAAGGAGGAGAAGGGAGGAGGAGAGGGGGAAAGAGAGGGGAAGAAGAAAGGAGGAAGGATGTGGAGGGAAAGGAAGAAAGGGTAAAGCAGATGAAATAAGAGGGGGGAACTAAGAGTAGGAGAGAGGGTAAGAAGGAGGAGAAGAGAGGAAGAGGGGGGAAAGAGAGGGGAAGAAGAATGAAGGAAGGAGAGGAGGAAAGAAGAAGGCAGAGAAGGGAGGTTGAGAAGATAGAAGGTTGTTGCAGCATAGGGTGGCAAGAAAGTGATCCAAACTGGATTCTATATATGTGTGTAAAAATGAGTATAGAGATTAACGATGAATAGACAAATGTTAAATAGCAATTATAAGAATGTGTACCTATGAATGAATTTGAAAGGGAAAAGATTTTTTTAAAAACTATTTGCAAAAAAAAAGAGGTCATCAGCCGTTGTTCCCCCTGATTTTTTTCTTGCCAAAAGACACAAATGAAACCAAGACAACCACAGCGCGACAAAATCAAACTTTTTTGACTTAATGTTTTTTTTTATGGAAGGGGGACCATCCATCAGCGTGGGGACCCTTTCAACCGGTGGTCCTTGACTTACAACCACAACGGAGTCCAAAATTCCCGTTGCTAAGCAAGACAGTTGAGTTGGCCCCATTTGGCGAGCTTTCTCGCCAAGGGAATCCCTGCGGTCGATATCTTAGTTACTTGGGGGGGTTAATCAGTGTTTCTCAACCTTGGCAACTTGAAGATGTCTGGACTTCAACTCCCAGAATTCCCCAGACAGCGAATGCTGTCTGGGGAATTCTGGGAGTTGAAGTCCGGACATCTTCAAGTTGCCAAGGTTGAGAAACACTGGTTTAAGTGAACCTTTGTTGGAAGGTTACTAAAGAGGAATCACATGACAAACCACCACCACCCCGGGACACTGCAACCCGTCGTAACTACGAGTCAGTTGCCCAACGCTTGAATTTCGATCGGGACCACAAGGGATGCTGCAACATTCGTAAGCATGACGCTTTTTTCAGTGTCGACGTGACTTTGCATGGTCACTAAATGGACAGTTCTAAGTTGAGGACATCCTGTACGTTCTTTTCTAGCTTGGCAACAAGTGGAACAGCAACTGGACAGTCGAGAGCAGGGAGACGGTCGATCTGGCCCAGTACAATACACAGAGAAAACACCCACTCCTGAATTGAAAGGTGAGTAGGGAAACGATCCATTCCCAAGCCTTTACTTCTCCCTAAATCCAGGAAGAAGCAATCTGGCTGGGGAATTCTGGGAGTTGAAGTTCCACCCGCATTAAAGTTGCTAAGGTTGAGCAAAAGTGCTCTACAACATAGGAGAAATAGCAAGAGGCCTTAGACTTATATCCCGCTTCACAGTGCTTTACAGCTAGAAGATTCAGAGTATTTGCCCCCAACAATCTGCGTCCTCAGCTTAACGACCTTGAAAGGATGGAAGGTTGATGGGTCAACCTTGAGCCGGTGAGACTCGAACTGCTGGCAGCTGGCAGAATTAGCCTGCAATACTGCATTCTAACCACTGGATGGATGGATGGATGGATGCATGGAAGGAAGGAAGGAAGGAAGGAAGGAAGGAAGGAAGGAAGGAAGGAAGGGCAATAGCAATGGCACTTAGACTTATACGCCACTTTACAGTGCTTTCCAGCCCTCTCTAAGCAGTTTACAGAATCAGCCCCTTGCCCCCAACCATCTGGGTCCTCAGCTTAANGCATTATAAAGTGGTATTAACACTTCACGTGATCTTGATTCTAGCCCTCTATTAATGCAGCCTAGAACTGTGTTGGCTTTTTTTGGCAGCTGCTGCCCATGGCTGGCTCATATTTAAATGGTTGTCCACACTAGGACTCCAAGATCCCTCTCACAGTTACTACTATCTCTCTCTCATGCACACACACACACACACACCTATCAATCCATCCATTATCTATCTATCTATCTATCTATCTATCTATCTATCTATCTATCTATCTATCTATCTATCTATCTATCTATCTATCTATCATCTTCTATCACCTATCACCTATCACCTATCTATCCATCATCTACCTACCTATCATCTATCAATCAATCATCTGTCATGTCTGCTTGTCTGCCTATCAGTCTGTCTATCATGATCTGTCTGCCTGCCCCATCTATCTGTCTGTCTGTCTGTCTATCTATCTATCATCCATCCATCCATCCATCCTTCCTTCCATCTCTATCATCTTTATCTCTGTATCTCATCTCTCTCTATCAATCACTCTCTCTTTGTCTCCTTCTCTCCTCTCCAGAGTCCCCTGCGAGAGCGTCCTTCCCTTGCAAGGTGGCCCTGCTCGCTGCGCCCTGGTTGATTCGGGCTGATTCGGAGGAAAGCACATGGTTTCCCAGAAAGGCTCCGACCGCTTTCTAAAAGCCCAGCGCCGATGCCAATTATAACTTTCACTTTCGCACCGGGGCTCTGCCTCCGGGTGCACATTTCCCGCCGCTGCAGAGGGCCGAGCGGCTCGCGGCGGCCGGAGAGGAGCCGAGCTGGGCTGAATCCGCACCGAAGGTAGCTTGGGGGGATGGCGGGGGAGAGCTCCCGCGGGGTCCCTTTCGCGCGAGTGGGCTGGTCGGCGGCGCTTGTGCGCTCTCGGCTGGCAGGGCGCGCTGCACGGGGGGAGGACGCCAGAGGGCGCTCTTGCCTGAGCGCTGCTTGGCAGGCTCCTGCGCTATCCTAGCCGGCAAAGATTCATAAAAGAATCAGTCTGTCTGTCTGTCTGTCTGATGTGGTTGTCGTTGTTGTTGTTGATTGTGTGTGTGTGAGAGAGAGACATAAGAGACCTTAAAGAAGCTGCACTTGCAAAGAGGTGATCTAGAGGACACCTGTTGGAAAAGCTACCTTTCATCAGCGTAATTTGGAATATCCAGTATTTCAGTTATTATAAATAACCATTTATTGTGTAGGCTTTCCTTCCTGCCTAAGCAGGGGGTTAGACTAGAAGACCTCCAAGGGTCTCTTCCAACTCTGTTATTCTATTCTTTCGTGAACCTAGTGTGGTTTGCTGCAAATTAGAGCTTGGGGTCAGGCAGGAAAGTGAAAACGGGCCACGATTTGTGGCATCAAAGCTCTGCCCTTCTTGGCATGCCATGCCAGCCAAAAGCAAGACTTTAATCCCGCAGTGTAGGCCGGGGCCATCTTGACTCTTTCAACATCTCTCCCTGCGGATGTCCCAGCCAGTTTGCTTACTACTCGGGCTGACTTACTTGTGGGCCCAGATCCAGGTAGGAGGAGGAGGAGGACGGTTACGGGGCCAGCAAGCGGTGTAGAATTGTTTGACAACAAATGATATGCAAAGCAAAAGGAAGGAGAAAAAAAGCGAAATTATGAAGGCAAGTATTAATGAGTGTCTGGCTAAATAGAAAGTGTCCTCCCGTTGGGCAGACACAGCCTTAAAGTTCAAATATTGTTCTGCTTTTCAGGTAGTTTTGGTTTTTTAATTTTTTAAAACATTTTGGACTGTTTTTACAACTGCAGTCAGTTAAACTCTCGTGTATTGTGTAACCTTGTAAATTGTCGGTTGACAAATTCGAGAGCCTAGAATTATGTTATGACATTTATTTCCTGATTCTATCCACCAACTTTAACCCAGCCCCTTCAAATCTAGAAATTACCAGAGTCTGAGGATCATATAATTTATCATAATTCCTCCGGCGAAGTTTGAAAAAGTGTTGTTGTGGATGATTTTATACGATCACTAGCACTTTTCTTAGAAAAGGAATGCAATTGAAAATCTGGTGCTGGAAAAAGTAGGGTAATTTTTATATGTGTAGTAGGCCTGTTGCTTTTTGCTGTAACTTTTGTTGCAGACGTCAAGAAAGTTAAATACTGTAACTTTCCCCCCATGAGTCCTTGTTTTAAATTGGCCATGTCCTCCTTGGCTTCTTCAGGTATCCGATTATCCCAAGAAAATCAGCGTAGAAACTGTGGGGGAGGACCAGGAAGGACATGGAGGGGGGGAGGAAAATAGAGCTGAATATTATCAGATATGGGATAAATGGTATAGGTGGATGGAGGAAAGAAACAAGGATCAATGAAAGAAATCAATAAAACCCAAAGATAGTAGTTAAGGAGAATGAATATACATACATACACACACACACACACACACACACACACACTCAAGAGAGTTTAAATTTACTAGAGGTGATCACCCAAAATAGCAGCTAGATGAGTAAAATAAGAGGGTTAAAAATGGTGAAACTCAAAGGAAATATATTAGAAGGGGAAATAACATAAGAAGAATTGTACCAATTGGTAATTGCTATTAGAAAGAACAGGAAGTTCCTGTTCATACTGTATTGTATAAATGTAGTGTACGTCTAAGTTTTGTGTGTGTGTTTTTTTTTTGTATGTTTGTAAATAAAAATAATTTGAAAAAAGAATAGAATAGAATAGAATAGAATTCTTTATTGGCCAGGTATGGTTGGACACCCAAGGAATTTGTCTTTGGTAATAGGAACAATGAGAAGACATAGTAATAATAATTGCAGCCTTAGTGAATAATTTGACAGTAGTGAGGGAATTATTTGTTTAGCAGAGTGATGGCGTTTGGGAAAAAACTGTTCTTGTGTCTAGTTGTCGTGGTGTGCAGTGCTCCATAGTGTCATTTTGAGGATAGGAGTTGAAACAAATTATGTCCAGGGTGTGAGTAATCTGCAGATATTCTCTTTCCTTCCCTTTTTTCTCCTTTCCCTCCTTTCTTTTCTCCTTTCTCCTTTCTCAAGTCTCCTTTCCCTCCCCCCTCTCTCTCTTTTATTCTCTCTCTCTCTTTCTATCCCCCTTCCCTTTCCTTCCTCTTTCCCTTCTCTTCCCCTCCCTTCCGAAAATGTTTTTTAAAACATTTGGGTTAAAGCCAGCTGGGTAACTTTGGCCCAGCCCTGCCCACCTGTTGTTCTTTTGGGGGAAAAAAATAGGAGTAGGAAGGCGTGTTGGATATTTTGCCAAATAACCTTGGGTTATTTGTCAAAACAATAAGGGCAGGCTAGAAATCAATCAATAACCAAACAGTTACTGAACCAACCCATTTGAGAGGAAGGGTTTGTACAATGTATTCAGCACTGTAACTGACTCCTGAAGAAATTACTCTATCATTCTTAAATTTCTTAAATTAAGCAAGTTGACGTAAGTAAAATAGCTGAGGAAATTGGTTGAATAAATGGAGGCCAGGGGTGGCTACAGAAGGTATGAAAAGGATGTGAAATGGGATGGAGAGAATGTTCCGTTGGCTTGTTTGATGATATTTCACATTTTATTCCTGAAAGGACCAGGGGTGGGCTGCTGGGGGTTTGCAAGGGTTCGGGAGGAACTCTAGCTAAGACTCTGTGCAGTTCGGAGAACCCCCGAATCCCACTCCTGGCTGGCCCTGCCCACCTTGCCCCTCCCCTCCCAGGAGTCCCCACACAGCCTGTAGTGGATGCAGGTAAGTGCAGGTCCCCCGCGGAGGCTCGGGGAAGGTGAAAAACTGGTCTACCGGAAGTTCCAAAATGGGCCTAGGGAGGCCGTTTTCGCCCTCCCGGAGGCTCAAGAAAACCTCTGGAGTCAGGGGAGGCCGAAAACACACACACAAACATCTGCTGTGGTGCAGGAGGCTGACTAGGCCATGCCCACCATGGCCACGCCCACCCAGCAACCATGCAGAGAACCCCTTGCTAAAAATTTTGAAGCCCACCCCTGAAGGAGGCAGTGTTTCAAGTGCTCCCTCCTCCCCATTTTCCATACCACAACGACAACCCTGTGAGGTAGGAGTGGGTGGAAAGCAGAGGTGGGTTCCTACCGGTTCGGCCCAGTGGTGGTATGCCAGCTTGGGTCTCAGAACCGGCAGCGACCCAGGCTGGCCACGCCTCGTAACCAGTTCCCCAGTCACCGCAGTCACTGCCGCCATCTTGTTTTGGACTTCTGCGCCTGTGCAGAACTATTTCTATTGAACTGCGCATGCACGCAAAGCGCGCAGACTAGCGAACCGGCAGTAACGCTGGATATAACCCACCCACCCCTGGTGGAAGTGGCTCAAAACCACCCTAGAGGTTTTGCGGCTGAAGACCCTCCCTTGTATGCATGAATTAACAAAGCAAAGCTTGCAGAGCCCAGATGTTGGTTTCTATCTTTCTTTCTTTTTTTCAATAATTTTTATAATGGATCTTGCACTAGCAAATAG